AGAGAGAGAGAGGAGACCAGTTGAAATAGTGGAGAGGAGAGACGAGGAGAGTGGAAGGCAGTGGAGGACCAGGACCAGGACCCCCCACGGTCGGACCTCGCACTTTCCCACGTGCGGGTGATCCCGTTTCATCCCGCCGACAAGTTCTCTTCACCTCGACTCTGCATACTTTACCCTGGTCTGCTAAGACGGTTACCAGCGTCATCCATAGGCCTAACCCTCTTGCAAAAATAGCACCAAACGCATCAGGGGATCGTGGATGCCACCCAACGAGATTACAAAAAAAAAAGCTAAACACTTCAGAAACGGAAACGCCGAATTTCAAAATGACGCAAAATTATTTTGTCTCATCGATACGCCTGTATATCATTAGAAATCTGGATCCTGGATCTCTCATAGAGACCCCCCGGTGAGGCTGATTCGGATTCTCTAGATAAAAGAGAAACAACTCGAAATGAAACTCCGAGACGCGAATAGACGAGGTCGTTCGGGCCCACAGGTCCTTTGGACTGGGTCCCACAGTCACTTAAAAACGGGGCCTTACGTCGCCCCTTGACTTCTCTACCTCCTAATGCGACAAGCACTTTAGGATTCCTGACGGTCGTTTCGCGGATGTTAACAAGGCATCAGCATGGGCCTCGTGCTTGGTTGCGGTCACAAGTGGGACGCGACGGAGGACCTTAACACGCAGGATAAGAGATCGTCATTGCCTTTTACTTCATCTGCATTTTTAAATTCTTTAACATTTCGTTCGACACGTGCTCTGCGGTTTGGCACAGACTCGGTCCCTTCTCCCTTGTATCCTTGCCACTTGTGGCCAATGCGCCAACGTACACAGTACATGTATACATACCTACGCAATATACCTGCTTGCTAAGACTTTCGATATGTCACAACACTCATCGCCTTTGCAAATCTATTGTCCAAACCGAGCACGTGCCTCCGACAGCACATGACGCACCATACTTTAGCTGCCAGAGAATCGGCAGCTATGAGGAGCATTTCCGCCGCTGTTCACTCCCAAAGAGCCGAGGTCATCGCGGCAGCCACTCTCTTACCGGCTGCCAGAGTCCATTTCAAAGTAAGAATCGTGCCGAATTCTCTTGCCGTAGTTGGTTAAAAGTAAAATGGCAGACAGCCAAAGGTTTAACGAGAGATCTCACTTCCTGAGTTCGAAGGCATTCTCCTTTATTTGCTTGTGGATCTTCCTTTGGGCTCTTCCGCTGGGTCCTACCGCGTGCGGGTAGGCGAGAGTACCAGACACAAAATGGCGTATTGTTTAGACGCTTGGCGTCGTCATAAAACTGAGTACAGCTCAGCCTGATCTTACAGCCACATATACTCTCCTTCCTCCTCTTGTTCTTCCTACTGCTGCTCTTCTGTTTCACTTCAGCTTCCAGCGCCGACCTCTCCTCTCCGCCGTCTCTTCATCTTCCTCTTCTTCTACGAGTGATTTAGGATCCGGAGTCAGGTGACCGTTACCTGGGACTCCTGGGGCCAGAGCGTTAAAACCCTTAACCTGCCGGTTTATTATCTGACGCATATTGTAGTTTGTACTCGCTTTGCAGCGCCTTAATCTACCGTAAAGGATCGGTTTTACAGCCTTTTACAGGGCGCTTCAGAATCCACCTGGCACATGGACCGTTTGGTAATCGATGCCCACCCCTGGTCCAGTCAGTCCTCAAAGGCGAGAGTACTTGAACACTTGACAAAGAGCAAGTGACAAAAGTACCCAACATCCGGTTTCATTAATCTTCATCTTCCTCCAGGGATCCATTTGGTACAGCTATACCGGTTTACACGCACTATCTAATTCACTCGTACCGATTGCTTCATCATACGATTGCTACCAATCGGGCCAATAATATTTTAGGGATTTTTCATCCTCGATACAACCGCGATCCTCTAAATCGACTTCATGGGCGTTTATTTTTAGATGAAAAAAAAAAAAATAGAAAAATGAGAATGCATTACCCGACGCCTCTGCACTTGGCGAGATCGACGTTGGTGGTTCGCCGGATAGTCCGGGCGTCTCGATCTCGACGCTATTACGAACGGACGCTCTTCTCTCCGCTCTGGCATTCCAAAACAAAGAGCCGCAATGGTGTCTTCTCGCTGGTTCACCATTGGACAATATGTAAATCAGTGGCTGGCCGTGGTCACGATGTCGCGACCTCACCGTCTCGCGCGGAGGGCTACGTCTCAAACTCCATAGCAACCGGGATCCGCGTATCCCATAAGGATCCCATAGGATCGCATCTTATTAGGATTGCCAAAAGATTGTTAGGGTCTTTACCGGAATACAGCATCGGTAAAACACCATGAAATGTATGAGGGTTATGGAACTAAAAATTTTCTAGGATTTCGTTATGGTAACCAAAAGTAAAACCAGAGAATTTTTCTATGGTGTGGCATTACAGGACACAAAGAAAGAACCGACGGGGTGTATTATTCTTTCTCAAGGCTTTGGGTTCCCATGCATTTGGCAAGTCGATACCCCGCGATACCAGTTCCACGCCCAACTTCTTCCCGTATCAACGGCAATTAGCCGTTAAAAGTGTTCATGTGTTCCGCGGCTATCTTACCCCTCCCACACGTCGGAGCGTCCTCTTATCTCGCGACAAAATGCATCTCATTGGATGGAACAGCTGTCCGAATTCGAGTGGCCGCTACGGAGAGAGGTACGTGCCGCCGTGCGAAGATTCTCTGGCTATGTGTGGATACACAAGCGAGCGACTGCGTCGCGAAAGAGCAAAATTTACATATCGTCCTTTTTCAAGCGACGTCTCCATCGCGGCGCTTTCTCGGAAGCGGTCCCACGGTTCCCACGAATGGCTTCACTTTTCTCTGAAGACCTCTCGCCGACATGAGCCATGGACCAAAATCGAATCGAGTGATTCTATCGATTCGAAGTTAAAATTTTTAAAATATTTCTTTCATATTGAATAAATATAAATATTGTATTCTCGAACAAAAAAGTTTTTAATATTTTTTACATAAATCTGAGCGTAGATATTGAACAATTTTTTAAATCTTTTACGTGCAATAATTTTGTATTCCCCCTATGTCTATTGTTCTGTGCCGCTCCAAAAGAGAGATCCCTTTGACTCATTGGAAGGATTCGTATAATAAGCGGTCAGTTTGCGGTTTGTCGAGTTCGACATAGTTTAGTATCGAAGGTAAAGGATATGGAGGAAGGACTGTCGAGAAGGATAGAGAGGCGCTTGGGGTGTGGGGCTTAGCACGTAGCCATTAAGACCTGTTAAGCCCCTGAGGATGGGCGCTTCTCGAACAAACATAAGAGGAGGCCCCTCTTATGTTACGTCCTGTCGGCTAACAAGGCGAAATTAGTCGTGAAATAAATCTAGGGTGTTTTAGAGCGTGGACCCCCGAGGGACGCCACGGTGAAGGAGATGGAACCTATTAGCGGAGCACCGCCCCTCAATCAGCAGCAGTTAAGGACAACCATGCGCCATGTCTCATCTCGTAAGGATCATCCGAACGAATGGACCCGGTCCGAAAGATTTTTCAGCAAATGAAAAAAGCGTCTTATTAAAAAACCCTAAAAATTGGCAACATTCTCACCAAGAGTCGCGTCTGCACTGAAACTGGTACGAGATTTACGATCCGCCGAGTTGGCGTATGGGTAGACGCAAAATGGTACGGCGAAGGAGCAAAGGATGCTGGAGACAGGCATGAATACGACTCGGGTTGTCTTTTGTCTCAAAGATTCTTCCGTTATTGGAAGTTGTCTCGTGGGTCACTAGGAATGTAGCGGGAGTCCGCCTCCGGGCGTAGAAGGTAGAGAAGGTGAAGAGGACTCGTGGAGGAGGAGGCGGTGGAGGTGGAGGAGGATGAGGACTCCCTCCACGGGCCATGCGGGCACACTGTCCTAATTACAACGAGGCCTCCTATTTTTTCGAGCTGAAAGGAGCCGAAGTATTCGCCCGGGGCAACCGGGCTAGACGACCGAGACCGCTCCCAGGATTCTAACCGTGCAAAAGGATCAGCGTCCCCGAAGCGGTCCTTGGTCCAGCAGCGTCAAGAGCTCCGCGGGAACATCGCAGTTTTCCCAAGCCATTCATGCCGAGCCGATTTCTTCACCGGTCTTGGTCCGCCCTCTCCTTTCCCCTCTGATCCTCCTCCCGCTCCCTTCCCTTTTCTTTTCCAGCCCTTCTTCTCACGACTCATTCATACCTCTTCGCATGAGATCATATCGTCTCTGCTTTGCTACCTGAAGGATGACAAGGACCATCCTCCTCTTCCTCCTCCCTCGTTGGCTTCTGCACGTCGATTCCCGATCAGCCGATAATTTCACGAAAAATTTGCAACCTCAGGAATACCTCGTCCTGGTACCATCAAGGCGGTAGGCACGTGTCCCCGACGATTTAAAGAAAAGCAGCATGCAATCGTAACGATGGATACTCATGTCCCAACAATGGTACCGATTGATACTCCCCAAAGAGAAGCCAAGAATAAGAGAAGCTAACGATCTTAATATCCAAGCAAAACATTGACACCTTAGCGTCGCCAGCTGGAGCATACGCTGTGACTGGGTAGCCAAGACGCATGAGCAGACGCGGTGGACGAAGAAGCGTGGAAGGGAATAAGTTGGAAGTACGAAGGGAAGACAGGAGGAACGTCAAACAGAAGAAGACCTGCCCGGTGGAATCCTCATGAGAAAGTAAGTTGGGCGAGCGATGACAACGAGCTAACAGCGTGGGCAAACATGGCGGCTTGGGACAGAGCGGCGGGTCCCGTGATCATATACTCGTTTCCTCTCAACCATCAACGACCAAGGGAGTGAAATACGTCAGTCCCGTCAAACCATGGGAAACAACAAAATCCATCGAATCACATTGACGCCGTGAGGATAGAAAATTATATGAAAAAATCAAAAAATTTAATATAATTAAATTACACCTGTGCACACAGCTAATCAAATACGTACAGGTTGAGGATATAGGAAAATTGACAATAATTGAAAACAACCATTGTAATTCGATGTTGAACGGTCTTTGGTTTAATATTATACAACAGAGCGGGCATTCTGAGAGGAGGTGCCCGTATACATACATATCCACATATATAATATTTAGCATCTATATCATCAGATCTGTTTATGTACAATATAATCAGTATATCGTATACGGCCAAGTGGGGCCTATCGTGTTGCGGAACGCGCTCGACCAGGTGATTCATTAAACTACAATTAACCGATAACGAAGTAATTTTTACAATTAATTTGTGTCCTGGTACCAACCCCCCGAATTACCACGTACGGTAACAGGGGGGGATGGTAAAGAACGAAATGAGAATGGGAGTGAGGGAGAACGTATGAACACGTGGTCAGGCGCCTTCCTTTATATTCTCTATCAAAATACACGCACTCTTAAGGGATGAAACTAATAAAGATTATTATGACGATTACTGCCGAGAGAGAGCGTCGAGCAGTAATTTAGTGAATACGGACAGTAGCGGTAGTAATGCCTTATGAAATAAATGAGAATCGATCATCGATTATGTGGGACGTATTAAATAAAATGTTTCGATACGTATAAGTATGTGGTGCGCATGCGCAGGACTCGATCGGCGACCGTACATAGGAACATCGTCGTGGTCCGACGCTCAGGCGCTATAAGGCTGCTGCATCGCGTAATTGACTAATCGGAGATTGACGATCGTTTTATTAATTAAGACGAATTCAAGAGAGAAAATGGCGGCGATCTAATCAAGAGAGACACTAGTTAAGTGAAAGGATAGTAGAATTTTATGGTGTAACGAGTGCCGAGAGTTTAGGTCGATAATCGCGGGACACGTTCTTTGATTAAATTCAATTAATTCATTCTCTCTCTCTCTCTCTCTCTCTCTCTCTCTCTCTCTCTCTCTCTCTCTCTCTCTCACTTTGTATTTAATGAGAAAAATGTAAAATGGCGTATATCACAGACACAATGATACGAGGGGGAGGTGTGTACGTGTGTTTCTTTAACGCGTGTACGCGTGTTTGACTCGCGCTCGCGCACAAAGTCGTTGGACAAATCGTCGCTCTTTTTCTTGCACTCTTTTCTTCGCTACGATCTACGTATAAGCTTAATTGGCCGCTACTAAGATATTTATTAACTATTATACACGTGAGACGCTCGAAATTCTCACATAGGAGGGAATTCGAATCGTAGACCTTAAGATATACGCTTCTTGGTCGATAAGACGAAAAGTCGACTCTCGACCGGAAGTTCGTGCGTGAGTTTTTTGGAGCGTCTACGGGCAAGGGTAGCTACACATATTTTACGTCCCGAAGAGAAAAGCAAAGTCTACGTTATCGTGCGAGAATCGTTTTAATTAAAATTAGGTAAATATGGAATTATTTTTTCGAGGATTTTTTTTCTTTATTTTTCGTAAAGAGAAATAAAATTTTTTTATAGGCGTTAAATCCCAATTAGGAAATATCGAAAAATTCAAATCGACAATGTCACGTTGCGTAAGGGTGACTCTCGCACGAGTTACGTAACAGCGCTCTCACACTCGTTTCAGGATGGAATTTTAACAGGTCGAAAAACGATGCCAGTCGATCTCGATAAAAGAAAAAAAAAAAGAGTAGTCGCGTCAAAAGACGATGACAGTCGTTACGTGTAAATAGTTAAAAACGATATGTGAGAATAATATTTTTTTTTTTTTTTTAAATAAAGAGGAACCTTCTTCGGGAGGTATTTACGCCGTTGACGACTTCTAGTTCGTGCTCTATGCGGGAGGGAGAATCAACTACACAGGAAATTAATTAAGTTGCCTAATATTATATATGAGACTTCATACCCTGAACGAAGTTACGTCAAAAGCTACGACGGCATGACGCGCAACGCGATGCAGCAGCGCAGCTTCTGACGAAACGAGCACACGCGTTAATTGAAAAAAAAAAATAAAATAAAATAAAAAATACTAATGCCAGTTAAAGAAAATTTTAGAAGTAGCGCCCATTCGCGTCTTGAATTTTTTCTTCTTCGCGTCTTAAATAACGATCCTCGATTTAGTCGCATTTCTTGCCTCGTGCGCATATCAATACTTCATTTTCGCATCTTGCTCGTTGGACAAGTTCAACTTTAAATATAGTTCGCAGTGTAAAATCTTTACAAAAATAAAATAAATAATCTGAATAAATACAAATATAATATTACAGTTAGTTAATAAATATTATTTAGGATTACTTCTCGTATTTTGTTTCCCGCTTGCTCTCGAGGATTTTGGGTGGCTGGGCTACAAAGTATGGGCAGGGGGTCCGGGCAAGCGTGAATACTGTGTTTTCTCCGTTATTCAATTTTTCTTTTAACTGGGGCACTGGAATACCCCACAAAATACCATTTTTGGTGCACAAGCTTCACCGTGTGCTGTCACTAGTCATTCAACGTTGATTCGCATTCACTCTGAAAAGTTTACTCGTTCGCTTATACACTCATGCGTTCTCCCCGACTCTCATTCTCCGTTGTTTTCAGCGCGCATATAAAAAAAAAAGAAATTGTAGTAAAGATCAAAGAAATTTTACGAAAAATTGCATCGATCCACAAAAATATAAAATCTTAGGGACGAATGGAAGTTGGATTTGAAAACTGAAATTTTTGAAATATATACCTCCTCGACGATAACTGCGATTTATATATTTTTATCAGTAGAAAAAATGAATAGACGATTCGACAAAATACGGATATACAAAACTGCGAGAAAAAAAATTATTTCGACTTTTTACACTCGCGCGTTCAAAAATGAATAATCAATCGTCTCGCGTGTCTCCTTCGAAATTCGCGAATAGTCACCCAAACATTATTTCTAACCGATGAATCGATAAAAATCTGTAACTATTTTCAATAAAATGTATTAGCTAACGTAAAAGATAATTTTTTCAAAAATTCCGACACATCGACAAACACAAATTTATCGTATTTTACGTATCTTTCGTCCGATTAAAAAAAAAAAGAATCGTATGTATCCTTTAAAAGACATGCAGATAAAAACACCGAAAAAATAAAATCAATTTAAAATAAATATTTCAAAAATTTTCTGATTCGATGGCGTACAAGAGAATTCCAATTCGTCCCTCGCTCTTTTCTAATTATCCTGGACACCGTGTATGTACAAATAATCCACCCACTACGGTTCCGAGACAAAGGACTCGCCTCTTTCTCTCTTTCTTTTTCTCCCTCTCTCTATGACTCACAGAGTATAGATCAAAAGGAATTTTGTGAGTAATAAAAATTTTTTTTCAGTGAAAAGAAAGAACATATAGCTACGAGAATTCGAGAAGAGACGTTGGGTGTGCTGCGACGTACAAGGATGCGCAGAAGTCTGCAGACGCTCATCCAGATAAATGGCGAGTGCAGTATATTGCCCCAGGACGTTACGCGTCTCTAAAACGTGTATCCACTTATTAATAATACGGTAAGCCAGGTAATCTCGTGGGTCGCTTTGGCCGCGTACGAGAAGAGGATACGACGCGACTTCTGACCATGACGATAAAACGGGATTTTGTGTGTGGTGTGTGTGTGATTATGTAAAGGACGACGAAAACCGACGGGCTTAAATTTTTTCTATGACTCTTCGACGTATCCTGCATCAGGCATCCAAATCTCCCGCAGAAGCAGGAACTTCTAGAGTTCATTTCATTTCACATTCGCAGGAAGTACTTCCGGGTACCCGATGACCCCATTCGCGTATCCCAGGACACCAAGCTCCAAGACGAGGTGTCACGGGATTCACGCAATGGCAAACACTATCCAATCCAGGATCCCGTGGTGGGTCCTGACGACGATGACGTCATCGCACCTTCTCCAGATCAACTTCCTGTCCCTCGTTCCATTAACTTATTTTCCCTGCTTCCTGGCCTCTCTATGCGAGAAGAGCCTCCAGCTGAGGCTCCACTTTCCTCAAATGGGCGAGTCGTCGCCTGGTAGCCCTACGTCGGCCTCCGCCTTGCCGTCCTCAGGACTCCAAGCCCCGACGAAGGTGCTCGAACACCTGAACGACGTACTCCAGTCCGTTCATGTAATCCCGAAAGATCAACCAGTCCCGTAGGTTCCGATAGGTCGCCGATTTCGACATGAACCGGTACTCGCTCGACATCGCGTCCCGCGTCACGTCGGCGCGTGGCGTCACACCACGTTCGGCCAGGGCGACCTGGAGTTCGCACAGCACCTGTAACATTAGACGGAACCAGAGCTTAGACGCCGTCGATTTCATCGGTGTCTCCAGCTATGCTTACGAAAGTGAACTCAAGCGCGAGAGATCGCCAGATGAAGCACATGGAAAAATGGATAACATAGCGGACACTCTTTTTCTTCGTTTTTATCCACTAATTTCCCCCCCCCCCCCCCCCAATTTTT